CATCCTCCCAAAGATTCCCTACCTACACTCTACCCAACCTAGCATATCCCCCTACCTACCTCTCTACCTACTCTACCTAACCATCTACCTTACCTGCCCGACCTATCCTCTACCTTACCTACCCTACCCTATTATCCTGTATACGTAACCCCTTATTCTTCTTACCTACCCCTTTATTCTTCCTACCCTACCCCCTACTACCCCTCTTAAACCCACCCCACCCCCTCAGGACTTCGAGGCGCCTTGTCCCAAGACCCCTCCCCCCCTTCCCCGGGACCTCGAGGCGCAGTGCCTTGTGGTCCCCCGCCTCGCCCTTAAAAATGTTTTTCAAAACAAATTCATGTACCAAAAAATTTAATAAACTATTAAGAGCCTCATGTTTTTCATTAAATTAAGTTAATCTAGGTATTCAAAGTTAGAATTAATCAAAACAAAAATAACTAAATACAATCCAACTATCAAGAGAGAGAGAGAGTAACACTGTATAACAGTGTATATAGGTCGTATAGCAACTCCTTCCACCTGTATGTTAGCTTTGGTCTTGACAAGGTTGGCTCGATCAAAGAATGTAACAAAGGAAAGGATTAGCGATATTTTCTTCTATATGCAATAGATTATCAGTGAATATTATCCACTAATCAATATTGGCCTAACATAGCTTGTATACGATGTTACATGCAAAAGGCAGCATTCAAGTATACATAAATCCGTTAAAGGGGGAAAAAAGCAGACAAACTTAGAAAATTAGTAACCTGCAAGACTTGTGCAAAAAAGAGGGACCATAAATAAAGTTGCTAGATGATGATGAAGGCTATCTTTGAAATATACACATGGGAATTCTTAACAGATTGCTAATGTTAAATAGACATCATAAGTTCTTACAAGCTTTTATGGGGCCATTTCAACATATGAAGCATCTGCAGATGTATATATGAATGTAAACACCATTGGAGCAAAAATAAAATAAAATACAGCAATGCCCAAACACTAACCACATAAAAATAAGAGTGCTAAATATGGCATATTTTGAATGCAAATGTATGCTAATACGTTAGCTAGACAGGAATGCTTTCTCATAACTCAAATCTAAATCAAGGCTGATGAAATTCCTAAAGATGCAAAATTGAGCAAATTCAGCACCCAAAAACAAACATTTTAAAACAACATAATAGTAATAAGAAAAAGAGCATATGGTGGTCTTCTTATTAAAAATGAAAGCAGTATGTCATCTTCCAAACACATTAAAAAATGTCCTAATGAGGGATCACTGACTAATTTGAACCAAATCTCAGTGGAAAACGGAGACTATAATGAAACAAAATTTAAACTGGATACATCTCAAATACATTAAAAAAATTGATTATAAAGCTAACAATAAAAGAAACAACACAACACATTTAAAGCTTAAAACTTATAACCACAAGCACCCTCTTAATCATTTATCATTCCACGCATAACTCTCAACTAAAGAAAACAAGATGACACTTGAGACATTTAGGGAAAGGAACAAAGAGAGGCTGAAACTAAATCATTCTGAGTGAGGGAGGAGATCAGTACGACATTCAAACATTCCAATCGAGCAGCAACCAACAGTGGGATCAAAGAGGTTCAAACCTTCAAGTTTCAACCAAAAGTCCACATGAGAAGACATTTTTAAACTTAGAAGCATAACAAGTATATCGAGATACTGAAGAAAGAAGGGATTTACCTCTTTTTGTGCAGCAAACCCAAATAACGAGCTCGAAGACTTCTCACCACCAGAAGATCAGCTCCAGCGAACTTCGATGAGCCAACGGCTCGGAAACATCAAAAGAAGAGGGCATTTTCCTCTAAAAAATTCTTAAACTTGAAATGCTCTCCAATACCCCTATTTCTCGATGAAGAATTCTGTCTTTTTCGATGGTTCAAATCCCTATTTAACAGTGAAGATGACAAGGGTATTTATAGGGGGAATTAGGCCAAATACGTTCATAATTGAACCAAAACATAAATTTTCGCTCCACTTCCAAATAAAATGGATAACTATGACATTATGATGGAATCCCTAATGCGAGGAACAATACTAACAGTGAACACACTTAAAGATGGACTGATTTAGAACAAAAATAGGGTACTTAGAGAACTAAACCAAATCATGAATGATACACTAGTACAAATACAATCGTTTAAGAGACAAAGTAATATCTATAACAGTGAAGACACTTAAAGATAAACATAAACAGTCTCTAGATTAATCATTCTATTTTGAACAAACTAAACTCAAATGAAATAATAGAACACTGAGCATTAGATCAAAAATTAAAAGAAAGAGGACATCCCCTCCAAATACTCTCCATTAACACCATTTTCTTTGAAAAATTGACGATTGCTTCCAATCTTTATTTCTTTTAACCATAAACCTAAATCCTGGCAAACAAGAGCAGTAACAATGTGAGTCATTGTTGCATTCCCTCGTGGACGTATTTTATTACTCAACCTCATGTTTTTTCGTCTGCCTCAATAAAATAACAACTTAATCAAATGGATAGAGGTCAAAGCACATGAGATATTAAGAAGTTCTACTCCCTGTTAGAGATTTGAGAAAATGCCCATCTAAAAGCCCTTGTCCCCCTAAGCTACATGTTCTGTCCTCCCCTTTCCCAACTAGGCGCATACGTCTTAAATTTTTAGATATTTCATTAATATATAATGTAAAATTGATTAAAGGATTCATGAGTCTTTTCTTACAAGCTAGTCACAAAATGATCTTGTAGATATAGCAAAATATATTGTGGAGGAAATGTTGACTCTAGAAGGTAATATAAAATAGACACACTTTGGTAAATAGTTGAGACATATTTTAGTGTCAAATCAACATGGATATAACGACAAATTGAATATGGAAATGATATGTATAGATTCTATATTTGGATAAAAGATCATGCCATTCAAATATCTTTCTCTAAGTGAAAGCATGAAAATTTAAGATTCAAATCATAATCTTTCATAATATTCCACTAAACTAAAATTCTTTTGGGACTTTGATCAAACATCACCAGGGCAACAAAATCATATTTCCGTTACAAATTCTAAGAAGTAACCCATGACTGATATACCAAATTCCTCATTCTTACGACGAGTTGAATTCGAGGTTACATGAAAATTATTTATTCAATCAACTAAACCCCCGACCCTAATTCAAACAAAAATGGGAAAAAGTACTTGAATGGATACAAGAAACATAGCAATGTCTTAAATAGCATATCAATACACGCCTTAAAGCCCCTATTACAAGTCAATGACAAAACTACTGATGAATTCAAACTAATCGGGGTCTCTCCTCTAAATCCCATCACTCACATTCCGTTCCAACACTAGTAAATAAGCCAACCACAAGTAGAAAATAGAATTTCCCTTCGACTCTTCATTAATTATAGGTAGAGAAAACGGGTACAACTCATACTTAATAGATACAACAAACTAAATTGAGATAATTCAGACCCAAAAGCCAAAAAAAAAAAACTAGCTCCTATGCGTCGACCCAATAATGGAAGCAAAAGTTACAGACAATCTAGAACCCATTTCAACAATTTCAGACATAGAGAAAGAGATCCTAAGCCGCGAAACAGATAATTTTACAGAAAAAAAATTGAAATTGAAATTTCATCAAATCAATCATAAAATAAGAAAGGTAAGATTATTGAAAGATGAAAAAAAATCGATACCTGAGACTTAGCAGCTTCAAATTAGAGGTAGGGAAAAGGGAGGAAAGACGGCAATTGCTTTTCTGCCGGAGCTACAAAATTTTGTCGGAGAAATCAAAACCCATCTTCATCTTAATTTCAGTGCTACAGAATGGTAACGAAGAAGAGAAGAGAAAAGACTTAGTATTAATTTCTGGTGGAAGAGAAGAGAAGAGAAGAGAGAACATATTTGTGGTAAAAAGAGCCGTTGTATTAGAACTGTCATTAGAATTCAAATTATCAAATTGCAAGTTTTGTGTTAAATAACATAAAGGAGTAAACTCCGCCCATTTTTTGTCTTTTTTTTTTCCAGTCATGCGCTTGTCACAAGGAAGCAAACAGTTAGAAAATACATCTAGAAAATTGTAAATTCGTATTCACTTACATCAAACCAATGATCTGTGTTTTGTACATAAGGTCTTTTGCTTATTTACTTGATTGTATCAAATAAATAAACGCATGAAATGTGTTTGTATCTAAGATATTTCGCTAATTAAATTACTTAATCGCGGTAAATTGATATGATTTGATATAAATATCAGGTGTAAGTAAGTTTTTAACAATTAAAACTTTTTCAAGCCATTTTAAAACTAGGGATTATAAACCCAACCCATATTAGTCTTAGCCCTTGAGGCTTGATCAGGATCGCGTCGGGGTTGGCCCGTTGGCCGAAACATTTTATTAGGGTAAATTACAATAATCTAATTAGTATATAATCTATTTACTATAATTACTAAAATACACGTTATATTGTAATATTATGAATCATACGAAATTTTGATACGTCCAGATACATATATCTCAGAATATATGAATTCAAAATTAGGTTAATATGTTCTAGATACATTCTATCAAAGTAGATTCACATGTATCTAGGATGCATAAACAAAATCTCGTACCCTCGCCTCCCTCCAATCTTGCTTATCACTTACTCTCGCTCGCCTATCTGGTATTTGAGATATAGCTAATTACACTAGACTTTTTATTAGTGTTATTAAAATAACACAATTATTTGTCATATTTGATTTGTGACAACCTTCCATTTTCTTGATGTTGTAGACCCAGTCCTCGACCCTTAAGGGTTTGGTTGGGTTGAGAAATTCAAGCCCTTACGAATGAAGCCCCAGCTCGCCCCAATCCTTCGAATTCCTTGGGCCTGCGAGGCTTGGGCTAGGCCGGTCCTTTTTGACAGCTTTAACAAAAAGTGTCACATAAATTAAAACAGATTAAATATAACAATAATCTCAAAATGTGAAAAATATCAAGTAAATACGGACAAATATAAGAAAAATCTGGTTTCGTTTGTATGGACCTACCAAAAAGTCCCATAAAAAAAGTCCAAATTAATAGTTCAATCCTGAAAAAAAAAAACTAATAGTTCAACATTTCTACAAGAACTGAACTTTTTCATCTTCACTCCTCTACAAAAAAATTCAAAAACCCCAAATTCCAAGATCCAAGAACCATTTTCAGTCTCCATTCTTCATCTATGTATTCTCTTATCCTTAAAATTTCAGTTTATATCTTTCATTTGTAGTACATTTTCTTGTATATATTCTTTTTTTTCAGTATTGGGTATGTTGAACTGGATGTTTATTACATATTGAAGCAAATTTGATGCCTTTTTTCTTTTGGATGAAGTGGGGTAGTCATATATGTATGTTGAGTTGTGGGGTTTGCTTTATATGAACCATATACAAATATATAATGTTGACTTGTATTTGTTTTTGTCAACTCTGTTTGTGATGCCTTGTGTTCTTGTTTTGGTGAAAGGATAATGCTAAAGAATGATGGGTTTGGTAGTATAAGTTCATTTATGATCAATAGGGGGTTAGAGTAATTTGTATTGTGTTTTGACCCTGCATAATCATGTGTATTTACTTGTATTAGTCTATTTTCTTTGAAGATTTTGGTGCTTTTAATCATTTTTTGTGTCGTCTGGAGGGGGAGGGGAGATGGTGAACTAGGAAACTTTACCTAGAATGGGGTACTTCAAACCTGGTTGAATCATTTTCGTGAAAAATTCTGATACTTGAGAAGCCCCCTAGGCTTTGGTCAAGAGGTAAGAGCACGACTTATGATGTGTGAGTGAGGTTCACTTTGTGGCTAACAGAATGGTGTTTAAGTGGAGAAGGACAAAAGGGCGGGCAGATTATCTATTGAGTTTTGAACGATGCACCATTGGCCGTTGGGGATTTCTTGATTATAAGAATTAAAAGTAGGATAAAAATTCTACTTGAGAACGAGTTACAAAACCACCCCTGCTACAAAACTTGCACCAGCTTACATATAAATTGGACCGCATTGTAGAATTTGTAACGAATGAGATTTCTTGGAGGTAAATTTGATTGTGGACGCTTGCAAGTTGAACTGATGAATTACCCATCAAAGTCTTAACTTGTTTGTGTAGAAGAAATGAATTTCATGTTTTTTTTCAACTTAATTTGTATCGGTTTCAAACTAAATTTAACATTTAGATATAAGATATTAAGTCTATTCTTACAATGACTGTCAGCTTATCCTAATCCTCTTCCTTTATGCCAACTTGAGATTTGAGATGAGTAATGCTTTTAAAGCTCACAGGTGCTTTCTTGAAAAACTACTGCTCTCACCAAGTAGCATTATGAAAGGCGAATAGAGCTAACGTTTGTTGGTTTCTTTTAAGCATAAATCACAGGTTTTTTAATGAAGAAAGGTACAAATGAAGAAAAAGATGCAAACGTGTATTCGTTTTTCAAGAACAACAATTATAAGAACAAAGGTACAAGTTATAATATCTGGCGCCTTGATGACTGCACTGAAGTGCCTGCTAAGTGACACAAAACATTCAGCCTGTTTTGCTCCTAGTTTATGGGTTTAAACTCACATTCAGTGAGTTGTTGATGCATTGTGCAACACGTTTAGTTCGGGTTTTTACATCATTTGACAATGTGCTTTATAATTGATCTTAAGCATTCTTTGGGCTGACTGCTGACTGAAGGACTTATAGCTTTTAAGGAAATTTATATACGTAGATCATGTGCTGATACCATTTTCTTTAGCTCTTCTCCACTGCTGATTAGTTTTGCAGTCATCCTTTTCTACGTGAGCGTATTATCTTACCTACTAGTACGAGAAATTGTTTGATGCTGTACCAGTTCAACACTATACAGACAATGTAAGTATTTACTTGTTAGTTTATAGTTAACCATGTGAGTGTTTGACTCATTAAAGTTTCCCTAGACCAAAAGCCTTCTACTATTGGGGAGAGCGAATTGACTGGCTATTTATCCTACTTAAACAATAATCTTTATTTGTCTAGTGTTTTACCATTTTCCTTGCAGTGATTTTGTTGTGATCTTTGGATAGTTATTCATGTTTTTTTTTTTGCAAATGGTAATGTTGGTTATTCATTGTTTATTAGTACAGCTGGTTTTACATCTCCTCTTCTTTGATGCAGATTGATGAGTATGAATGTGGTCCTGTAGGTTGTCTTAAAGCTTTGCTTTAGTGCCATACCCTCAGTTAGAAACAATATATCTTTCTTACTTTGTAATTAAGCCTGATACGGAATTTCATTTACGTAGCCCTGTCCATGGATACTCCTTCACCATTCTCCCCTCCCTTTCCACTCCCAAATACTAGCTCAAAGTTTCAGTCTCTAAATCTCCAGCGTTATTTAGAGCAACCAAAAGCACAACAACATCAGCTGCAGCCACAACAAGCTGCTGTTGAACAAGTAAATGACGAGTCTCTTCATGGTTCATCTATCAAAAACCCCGAATCAGGTGTTGGTTCTAATCATGTCTTTGTCAATCATTCAGCAACTGCATACCACGTTACTTTCAATCAAGACTACGACTGTTTCGCTATCGGCACTGATCGCGGTTTTGGAGTATACAACTGTCCCTTTCGGTGAGTCCTTTTGTCGAAACTTTGAAAATATACGTGGTATTGGAATTATTGAAATGCCCTTTCGGAGAAATATATTAGCCTTTGTTGGACATGGAGACCACCCAAAATATCCGCGAAACAAGGTCATGATCTGGGATGATCAGCAAAGCCGTTGCATCCATGAGCTCTGTTTCTGGTCGGAGGTGCGCCGCATCAGGCTTCTGAAGGACTGCCTCGTGGTAGTTCTTGAGCATAAGATATTTGTCTAGAATTTTTCTAATCTGGAGTTGTTATTTCATATTGAAACAACTACAAACCCAAAGAGGATCTATGAGGTTTCACAAACTGCTGATCATCTTGTATTGGTATGCCCTGGTCTGCAGAAGGGTCAAGTTTGGGTCAAACATAGTGCTTCGAAAAGCATGAAATCTATTGTAGCAACATGAATTCAGTTCTTGCATGTTATGCTCTTACGAGGAAAGGCAACCTGCTAGCAACAGCAAGCACCAAGGGTACACTAATCCGGATTTTCAACACGCTAGAAGGTACATTGTTGCAGGAGGTAAGGAATTTGCGTCGTCATTGTTTTAGTTCGATCATGTTTTGCATACTCTTTTGTTACATAACGTGAAGTAATCGCAGCATCTCTGTTACTCATAGTTGTTCTTCCAACTACCGTGTTCCTGTGGCAGCCTCTAGTTCATTCTCCTTCATCAGAGGTATCTCTAAAGCAGATTGAAGGTTTCTAGTTTATATTTTAAAAACTTAGATGGGTACCCATTCGTGCTCAATAAAATATACTTACAAATCCTTGTTAAGCAATAAAAAATCTTGCATCTAATTTTTAACTCTTCCCTAAGAACATGACCTTCATTTGCTGATTTTGAGGCATCTATTTAAATAGTGAAATTATTCTACTACATGCACTCCATGCTGGAATTGTAATTGACTACCATTATTCACGTTTAAAAAGTAAATAAATGCATAATCAAATATCCATGAGTATTTATAAAAAGAGAGGAGTAAAAATACATGATCAATGATGGAAGATTACATAAATAAATTATCCATAAAAAATTCTTAAACAAAAGAGATACGATAAAGTGAATGTAAAAGATTACCGAAATTCTAATGTTATATAGTTTTACATTATTAAGGAACATTATCAATCATAAACAACATAAAGTTTTTCTTCAGAGTTAAAACCTGAATTTCTGACGAACTTGTACGTTCTAATTTCATATTTTGTATGCATACTTAAAGCTTTTATCAGTAAACTTGAATACTAAAAAAAGGAAAATAAATAAATAATTCGAGTAGATACAAGAATTTTAGAAAAACTAATTAAAGCATAATAATCAGTGTAAATTGTAATAAGAGGATGAATTTGAAGAGAAGCTAGCCTTTCTTAGTGATAATCAAGAGGTTATAAATGTGCTAAGCCTCTCCAGACTTTCTGGTTTTGTACACCTTTATTAAAAAAATATTAAGATCCTTTAATTTTATAAAAGATGGTAATATTTCACCCACGTAAACAATAATTATAGAGAAGTTACATAAAAAAATCATGAGGAAAAAGGATGTCAAGTAGTTTATCTAGAGATTTTTGGAATTATTAATTTAAATCAAATGTAATGATTTAAAAAATGTATGATATTTTGTAGGAATTATCATCAAAAGATGTGGTGTAGTAGATGAGACTCTTCTTCCTTGACCAAAAATTTCAAATTTGAGCTCTAAGTATGAAAAAATACTTAGTAAGCAACGCTCCTAAACTTCTATTTTAATTGCAATAAACTACATTTTGCTCTTACCGCTACATTTTGAAGATCCTTTTACCTTTTTACTATTCTCTCTTCTTCCACAATATATACAATGACATACACACGAGATACAAGTGATATATCAGAGTATGTTGTGTGTTTCTCACGTTGTGGTGACAAAATCGAATAAAAATAGAATTAAATCGCCAATTAAATTAAATCGGAAAGAATCTGACTAATAATTCAATTAGTCAGACTTGGTTTGGTCTAGGAAAAATTAAACTCGACTATACTTGAATTGATTTAATTTTAGCCCGCCTGACATTTTATATATATATATATATACTTTTTCATAATTTTTATCTTTTTACATATTATTTCAAATTTTTGAAACATAAAATTTTGAATGATCCAATAAAGGTTATAATTCATATATTACTAACTCTAATAAAGCTCACATCAAAATCAAAGCAACAGTATAGCTAACAAAAAAACAAAGTTAATTTCACACTAAGAATGACAATAATGTTGTATATTTGTTCTTTAGTTTTACATTGGTTTAGAGTTTAGACACTAAAAATATTTTATCATATAATTAATACTTATAAGACTTACTTTAGCATAATTTAATAATTTAAAATAATGATCATTTTATCATAACTTGTTAATTAGCAATATTTATTTTATACGATATATTTTCATTATTATTTTTTGTTGAATATTTTATTGTCATCTCATGTTTGTGTTATTTTTTAAGGAAACGTCTTATATAGTTGTATTTAGGACTTAAGCAATATTTGAAGCATAAATTAATGGGAAACTTACATAAATATACTATATTAAAAAAAATAGTTACTATTTACAGTAATAACATTTTATTTTATTTGATCACTTTTAATTCATTTATAATACAAGTTTAATATATATTACAAAGAACAATTTATTATTCACATATAATACAAGTTTTAATGATGGATAATATATTTGTCACGCGTTTTAATATACTTATAATATAATGTGTCAAATATTTACCAAACAAACAGAATATAAATAAAAACAATTATAATATATATATATATATATATATATATATATATATATATATATATATATATAT